TTAAAAATATAAGTGGAGTTGTCTCCACTTCTCAACTGCATTTTGTTGCATGCATCTCTTATGATACCTTGCGCCAAATCACATTGTTTTAATTTCTGTGGCTTTAGATAATAGCTTGGGTACTGCTAAGCCAAACATTTTCCTTGTGCCCCAACTAACTTTCACTTTTATGTGAGAAGAAACAAGATCTTTTTGAAAGGCAGAAAGAGATAGAATATGAGAATATGATATTCCATCTGCTGCTTCACTCCCTAGTGTCTACAACTGGGGCTGGACACGACTGAAGCCAGAAGCCAGAACTTCATCCACGTCTCCCACGTGCGTGGCCAGGACCCGAGTAACTTGAGCCACCACCTGCTTCCTCCCAGGATCCACATTCACAGGAAGCTGGATCAGAAGTGGAGACGGCACTCAGTTCCAGGCACGCTCACAGGGAGGCAGGCCTCCCCTGTGGTGGCTTAAGTCACTGCACTACAATGCCTGTCCCATCTTTTCACGTATTTACTGTTCAGTAAAAATATCAGCATCAACCAGTCTTCTTGTAAGCATTTTTTTGTTTTCCCAAGAATTTTTAAAATTTATATTAACAATAATTGTACACATGTATAGGCTAATGTGTGACATTTCAATATATGCATATAATGTGCATTGATTAAATCTGGGTAATTTGAAATGTTATGAAATATACATTTTAAAAAATTTATTTACTTGGAAGGCAGAGTTAAGAGAGAGGGAGAGAAGGAGAGATACAAAGAGAGATATCTTCCATTCACTGGTTCACTCCCCAAATGGCCACAATGGCCAGGGCTGGGCCAGGCTAAAGCCAGGAGCCAGGAGCCTAATTCCGGTCTCCCACGTGGGTTGCAGGGGCCCAAGCACTTGTTCCATGTTCCATTGCTTTTCCCAGGTGCATTAGCAGGGAGCTGGATCAGAAGTGGAGCAGCCGGGACACAAACCAGTGCTCATATGGGATGCCAGCATCACAGGTGGTGACAACTTGTTACACCACAAAGTCAGCCCTATGAAATCTACATTGTACATATTCCTGTTTCTGAGGATAGAAAACTTTTTGTTCAAGGCAAAAGTGGTCATTTTTTAGGATTTACACTAAAGACTAAAATACTATTAACTCAGCCATTGCCATTATAGTACAAATGCGGCCATAGACGGTATATAAGCAAATGGGTATATAATTTTATTTACAAAAGCAAGCCACAGTTTAGATATGGACCATGAACCATAGTTTGCCAGATAGATAGATAGATATAATGACAGATTAGCGCTTCTATGGTTATCTTATATCTTGATTTTGCAATGAATCTTCTAATCCTGTTTTTCAACTAAGCCTATTATTTCTATGTGGGTGAATATATACCAAAAAAAATCATTCTGTTCTAAGTTTCCAATATTTACGCCAGTTATTCCTCTCTCAGAGTCCAGCTGCATTGGCTCACGAACTCTGGAGCGATACTCAGCAGGCTGCAGCGCTAACAGGAGGCACTGCTGTTTTGTACAGGAAGGCTCAATGTTCTCCACCTTCCAATTTGATGTTCTTCATGTTTAGCTTCAGATCTACTAAGAACCCTACCGCCCCAAGCTCTTCAAAGGTCATTCCTGCTGCTGCTTGTCTGTGGCTACGGGCAAACCAAGTGGCAGCTGAGAAATCTAAGCCATCACCCCACTGGGTACCACTGACCTGTTTGCACTCAACGGATAGTTTCCAAATCCTGGCTCAATTACTCAAACCTCAGAGGGCAACATAGAAACTAATTAATTAATTACTCAGTTCTTTTCATGGATGAGAAAAAATTCAGTAGGAAATTAAACTTTTGATTTTGGAGTTTTTCAAGGTGTCTTTCCTCCTGAGATTTTTTTTTTTTCAATTAAAAATAAATTGCTGAAATGAGTTTTCAGTAGTTAATGACAACTTAATGGAAAATTCAATAATGTTCTAGGGAAACTAGAAATGGAAGGCCCAAGCAAGTTACTACAACTAACATTTAAATATGCTTGTTTCCAAAAAGCCTTGGTCCAACACATAAGCATCAAGAATACACAACTTTCAACACATGTACTGGGGGTTGTTGTGGTACAGCAGGTGAAACCCCTGCTTGGGTCACTGCATTCCGCAATGTGGGGGATAGTCTGGGGTCAAGCCCCACCTTCGCTTCCAACCCAGTTTTCCACTAAGGAGCCTGGGAAGCAGCGTTAGTACTTGGATCCCTGCTATGCACGTGGGGGACTGGGATGAAGCTCTGCCTCCTGGCCCAGCCCCGGCTGTGTGGACACTGGTGGAGTGAACTGGATGGAAGACTCTCGCTCTCTCTCTTTATCTCTCCCTGTCACTCTGCCATTCAAATAAATATTTTAAAACATGTATTTAAACTTGAGTTATCAAATGCTTATATCTAAATTGTTTCATGCTTTCTTTATATTTGTGCTTATATATGTACCAATGCAAGTTTCATATTCATACCCTAGAAGAAAAGCACTTAACACTGTATAAAAGATACTATTTCAAATAGTCAAAAGATTTCAATTTGGAATTCACCTTCCAAGAATTAATTGTTGTATTTCTCTGGAAAAATTAAAAATTTAGTCCAACTGTAAAATTATGGGACACCCAATATAGAGATGATATGTTTAACATCAAGAACTGTGAATTTTTTGTTTACAAGAACATTTAAATCCCATATATCAGCCGGCACGGCGGCTCACTAGGCTAATCCCCCACCTGCAGCACCAGCACACCGGGTTCTAGTCCCAGTCGGGGAGCCGGATTCTGTCCCGGTCGCTCCTCTTCCAGTCCAGCTCTCTGCTATGGCCCTGGAGTGTAGTGGAGGATGGCCCAGGTCCTTGGGCCTTGCACCCGCATTGGAGACCAGGGGAAGTACCTGGCTCCTGGCTTCGGATCAGCGTGGTGTGCCGGCCACAGCACGCCAGTGCAGCAGCCATTGTGGGGTGAACCAACAAAAAAGGAAGACCTTTCTCTCTGTCTCTCTCTCACTGTCCACTCTGCCTGTCAAAAAAAAAAAAAAAAAAAAAAAGACCCATATAAATAAAAACACTTCAGGCAATCCATATGAAATTTAAATAACAGCATAGAATCCTTATTCAGAAGCTTGTTATATAGTATGCCTATTATTTCACAGTAATAAAAAATAGATACAAATATTATAAGCCAGTCTTAAAATGAAATTGGGGCCGGTGCCACGGCTCACTAGGCTAATCCTCCGCCTTGCGGAGCCGGCACACCGGGTTCTAGTCCCGGTCGGGGTGCCAGATTCTGTCCCAGTTGCCCCTCTTCCAGGCCAGCTCTCTGCTGTGGCCCTGGAGTGCAGTGGAGGATGGCCCAAGTACTTGGGCCCTGCACCCCATGGGAGACCAGGATAAGTACCTGGCTCCTGCCACTGGATCAGCGCCGTGCGCTGGTTGCAGTGTGCCAGCCGCGGCGGCCATTGGAGGGTGAACCAACGGCAAAGGAAGACCTTTCTCTCTGTCTCTCTCTCTCACTGTCCACTCTGCCTGTCAAAAAAAAAAAAAAAAAGAAAAAGAAAAAAATGAAATTGGTTAGCACTATTATTTATATGAACAAAGTAAATAGTTAGAATCAATGATCTGATTTAATGTCAAATACATTTCTTGCTTATAATTATTTTTAAATGAGAATTATCCAGTTTAACCAATTCAAGCATTCATTCAGCCAAAAGAAACCACTTAAAAATTGAAGATTTGCAGAATATTACAAATTTTATCAACACATCAAATATTCTGATCTGCACTGAACTACACTGTGCAAAGACATCTATCAACTGCTTTGTAGCTTATAATTACTCTAAATGGTCACCAAAACTCCTCGACCAAAATAGCACTGTAATTATATGAGGCCAAGTCCTATAGTAAAAATGGCCAAGATCTTTTCAAAACAGAGTAAGGAAGTTTTCATTTAATAAGTATGAATTTGGTTTCCCAAAATCTAATTCCCAAATCCAACTTCTAAATGTTTCAGCAGAGTGGGGCAGTAATGGAAAGAAATGACTTAATGGAATTTTGGAAAGAAAATATCCTAGATCTTGGTTTGAAAATTCATCCCACGTAACAGATACCACTAATGACTCAGAATTACGTAATAATGCTTATATCAAAGTTTATTGGTTAACTAATGGGCAGAGTAATAGGCAAGTAAAACGTAGTATTTGCTTTTAACAAAGCAGACTGAGTAATACGTTAAGTGTTAGGGTGGGACTGGAACAAACTCAGGCAGGCAAACATTTCCTCTTGGACTTCCTATGTAAACATCTATTTAGTTCTGGACTGTTCACCAAGGTGCCTGCAGGATGGAGAAGAGAACTCGGTCCACCCATGAAACACCTCCCAAACCAACCGGGCCTTGTCCAGCTCCTCCAGAGTTCCCTGGAGCCCCACAGGAGTGTGGAATGATAAGGAAAAGGAATTCAATGTGTACCCAATTCAATGTGTAATCCACTAATTGGGTTGTTTTCAACTGGGTTTTTCAACTACCAGTTAGAAGTACACTCTTGTTAATAAACATGGATAAATGTTTGTTTGAAAATGCCTTTAAAAATCATGCAGTGAACCAACAGCTAATTGGCCCTATATTCTCCCAGAATAAGGGCTTATAAAGTCTTGGAAATCCTCAGCTCCCTTTAGTCACTTTTCCAAATAAAGTCTTAATGAATATGTTTTAGGTTCTTTACTGGGCTCTGTAACCCCTTCAATCAAATAGCTAGGCTGTGTGACTTTTGTCTCACTGGGAAGCCTGGGAGGGTATTCTGATATTGTCTAATAAGATCCATGGGTAAACACTTTTCACCCCACATCAGTTGATGCTGCCTTGAGTGAGATTTCAGGAAGAAAATCAGTGGATCCAACAAGCATGTTCTGTTCTCAGCAAAACCCTTGGCACAGCTCCCATGTATCCTGTGCAAGGGAGTTTCAAGCCACTTCATCATCTCAAGCACAAAGCAACAGGAGTCTTTTTAACCCAAAGTGAAAAGCTTCTGAAGAACTTCAAGCACAACTTTGTAACAAAAGCTATATTGCTCCTATATACATACACACAAAAAACAGTACCATGCTAAGTAATTTAATACTGATCTCTACTTTCAGAGAAAACATTTGTAATTTTCAACTGCACAGGAAAGTTCCTAAAGAAAGCCAACATTTACCTACCAACACTGAAACAATGACTCTTTATGCAAAAACATTTTAAAAAATATGAGTGAGATAAATCACCGTGATATAGTTCTTGGTCTCTCATTCTACAGCCAGTTAACTGAAGGCTTAACTGAACTGAGGCAAATGGTTCAGTCTCAACTTCCTTACGTTTTCCCTGGCTAACTCAAATTCTAACAAGTCTCTTATATGCATCAATTATCTATATTCTCTTGGTCTTCTGTTCTGATGAACTAATCTATGACATAAACGGTAATTTTTGTAACATGCCAATAACTTTGACATTGTAGTGGCAAGTCAGTATCTCAAACTGCTACTTGAAATTTATTAAAAGTAATGCTTTGTATAGGACATGATTACAAGGCACACACTTGGGCATCCGAAGACTTCAGTTGCCCCTGGCTCCACCCATGGCTCTCCAGGGGACCCTGTGGGCAGACTTCTGTCGCTCTGAACCTGAAACACTTCATCAGGAGTATCAGTGCAAAAGCGACGCCTACCAGACTTCAGTGGGATCACTGAGGGAAGAGGCCCACGAACTGTGAACTGCTGCACAACGTCAACCTTCAAGTCCATCACCTGCCCTAGAACTTGTGTGGGGAAATCTTACCTTCGTCTGAATCACGCCACGACGCTGCTGTCTCATGTGGGTCACTTGTCGCTCCCCGTCTTCGTGGAGGAACGACACAGGACCCTGCGCTGTTCTTTTGTCTGCTCGGCCCTCCCCGAGTTTGCTGCTGGTTCTTCCCGGGTTGGCTACCGTCCCTTCCACCTCCGTGGAAGGGCGGTTCCCCCTGCCACTTTCCCCACTTCCGCGGGGGAGCGGCACACCGCCGGCCGGCCGGCTCTCTCGGGGGCTGCTCAGGTGTTATTCGGATAGATATTCCTGGTGCATGTTGTCTCTCTCCTCCTTTATAGTCCTCTTCCACCAATCCCAACTCTGCTACCCACACGCCGAGTACGCTGCTCTCCTCCAATCAGGAGCAGGATCAGCTCCTGCAGGTCATCACTCAAGTTGGCGAGAGGCAGCTGCGTAGAAGTTGTTACTCCCTTCTCAGCGCCATATTGTGGGAGAGCAGATGCATAGAATAAGTCTTAATTCCAGTAACAGTCTAGTCCGAGTTGCTCCCCACAGTCACTGTATCCTGGATGTTGAACTGTTAACAAGGCCACAGTGATTTTGTATTAGCCATGCAGCAGGTGAAACACAAACCCTGGATTACCAGATGAGTGCCCCGTACCTCTTTTCAGTAAAAGATCTCAAGGTCTTAATCACAAGAAAATGCACTCTATTTTTAACGTAGCTCAGTGAGTAAGGAAGACATGTTTCTCAGGAGAAATTGGGAAGCTCACCAGAAGAAATACCAAAGTTATCCGTGTGTATCCTTTTGGTTATCCAAAGAGAGACCTAAAAGCAGCACTGTGATTCTGGAATAGCACAGAAGACGTTCTCTGCCCCCAAGAGCAGCACAGCGTTTCTCCTATAAAGAGCCCCGTCAAGTGCAGTGGAGACGCTGGGCAGCAGGCGCCGGCACCAGTGGAGATGCTGGGCAGCAGGCGCCGGCACCAGATTCCGCACCTGCATGTGGAGAATGGCACAACCGCGGCTGAACCGGTGCCCACCCGCAGGCACGAATCCAGAAACATGGGCTGTTTGGAAACTTACGGCAATCTGGTGCTAGTGCAACACGAGGAATGCGATCAGCAGAGCAAGGTAGAGACCATCTCTCCTGCTGCTGGGCGTGCCGGCAGAGTCCCACTGCTGCAGTCTGAGCACCACTCAGTATGGCAAGGCCACGGTGATATCAGCACAATCCTGTAAAGTCTGTCAAGAACTGTCTGACATCCTTAATATATCAGCAACTTTAAAAACTCAGCAACACAAAAACAATCAATACAGTTAGGAAATGGTCAAAGGATTTTTTTTTTTTTTGACAGGCAGAGTGGACAGTGAGAGAGAGAGACAGAGAGAAAGGTCTTCCTTTGCCGTTGGTTCACCCTCCAATGGCCGCCATGGCTGGCACACCGTGCTGATCCGATGGCAGGAGCCAGGTGCTTCTCCTGGTCTCCCATGGGGTGCAGGACCCAAGCACTTGGGCCATCCTCCACTGCACTCCCTGGCCACAGCAGAGAGCTGGCCTGGAAGAGGGGCAACCGGGACAGAATCCAGCGCCCCAACTGGGACTAGAACCTGGTGTGCCGGCGCTGCAAGGCGGAAGATTAGCCTAGTGAGCCATGGCGCCGGCCGCAACTAGTTTCTGTAGCTTGTCTTTTCCTCATTTTTATGTGCTCTCCCACAGGACAAATCATTTGATTTTCTTACCCTCTAAGGTCATTCTTCTCTCATTCTCAACCACATGGCCCACAGAAGTCCTGAATGACCTAAGTGCATCAACATAACCACACTTATTAGAGCAGAGAAGGGGCTGAAACTCAATCAGAAAAGTGAAATGCTGGGAGATACTGGCCCGAGCTTCCAAAAAAGCAAGGTTCTTCTGTCCTCAAAGGAGTAACTTGAAGAGACGGTTTTTCTACTCCTTTACGAGATGGTCTGAGGAGTACTGGAACCACAGCAGCCATTTTGTGGCCATAGGGAAAGACTGTCACTGTTGGGGTACAACTATATAAAACCTTGAAAGGGGCCGGCGCCGTGGCTCAGTAGGCTAATCTTCCGCCTTGCAGCGCCGGCACACCGGGTTCTAGTCCCGGTCAGGGCGCTGGATTCTGTCCCGGTTGCCCCTCTTCCAGGCCAGCTCTCTGCTGTGGCCAGGGAGTGCAGTGGAGGATGGCCCAAGTGCTTGGGCCCTGCACCCCATGGGAGACCAGGAGAAGCACCTGACTCCTGCCTTCGGATCAGCGCGGTGCGCCGGCTGCAGTGCGCCAGCCGCGGCAGCCATTGGAGGGTGAACCAATGGCAAAAGGAAGACCTTTCTCTCTGTCTCTCTCTCTCACTGTTCACTCGCCGTGTCGAAAAAATCCGAAATAATAAAAAAAAATGAATAAATATACCTTGAAAGGGTTGAGGTGCGACACCTGTTCTGACAACATAAATCCTGCAGCATATGGGTGTCAGGACAAGTTTCTTGTTGCCTCTTTCCTGATGAATTTTCACTTTCCTTTTAATCACTAAGAGTCTCTTTTTCTTCAGGGCCTGCTCAGCAAATAGATGCCCTCCCTCCCCACTTCTGCAGCACAAGGAAACAGCTGAGTAAGTAAGCCTTTTTGGCCACCAAGTTCAAGTCACATGGTCTAGTCAGTTTAGTCAATAATAAAGGAAATGACCATATATCTGATTCCTGTGCCTGTCTCTTAGCTTATTCCAAATTTAGGAGAAAAGTAAGTGATAATTAATGACTGGCTGAAGCCCAAAACTATTATTATCAGTATTTTACACATAAGAAGCTGGGGTTAAGAAAGGATAAACAATTTATACAAAGTCACAAAATCTAATATATGTGGCAAAATTGGCAGCCAAACCCTGGCACCTCTCAATAACTCTGAAGTCTACATTTTTTCCAGTGTGTTCATATACATATTATATTCTGTTCATTAAACACAGGAACATTTTATCAACATTTACTAGAAAAAAATTTTAAATCCATGTGTGCCAAGAGAAGGAAAGAAAAGGCAAATGAATTCACATTTACTGTATTTCTATTATGTTCCAAACACTGTCCTAAACCTTTTAAACCTTTTAGTTACATGGCGTACTTTAACCCTCACGTGACCTCCAAGAACCTGCAGCAAGGTGAGTGAGAAGCAGACATGCAAAGCTAAGGTGCTTTCAATTCCTTAAGTTGCTCTTGGAGGCCAACTGCTAGCCCCCCTTACCGCCAGGCTGTTAGAAGCACTGTGTTTACAGCCGTGCCAGCTTCTCTGCCTGAGTGACATACTTACGGGGCAGTTCTTTTCAATGGCACATGTGGGGAGCAACTCGGACTAGGCTGTTACTGGAATTAAGACTTATTCTATGCATCTGCTCTCCCACAATATGGCGCTGGGAGAGGAGGAAACAGCTTCTACACAGCTGCCTCTCGCCAACTTGACAAGCTGCAGGAGCTGCTCCTGATTGGAGGAGAGCAGCGTACTCGGCGTGTGGGTAGCAGAGTTGGGACTGGTGGAAGAGGACTATAAAGGAGGAGAGAGACAACATGCACCGGGAACATCTAAGAGGAACACCTGTGCAGCCCCCGAGAGAGCCGGCCCGCGGTGTGCCGCTCCCCCGCGGAAGTGGGGAAAGTGGCAGGGGGAACCGCCCTTCCACGGAGGTGGAAGGGTCGGTAGCCAACCCGGGAAGAACCAGCAGCAAACCCGGGGAGGGCCGAGCAGACAAAAGAACAGCGCAGGGTCCTGTGTCGTTCCTCCGCGAAGATGGGGAGCGACATAATGGTGCCGTGACTCGGATAGGAAGCCTAGGCAGGGTTTAGTGTCGTTCCTCCACGAAGAGGGGGAGCGACAGGCACAGAATACAACATCCAGACATGGAAACACTCCCGTGCGGCCTACACCAGCCCTGCAGTGAACAATCAGGGGTCCTGGAAGGTAGCTCTTCCTCACATTACAAACAAATTCTATGAAATATTCTGCTGAGGCAGGAGTGGCATGGTCTGGCCACTTGATGAACTGCATGTGTTTTACAAAGTGCTTAGCTCCCATCTGTTAGAGAGAGAAAAAGAGAGAAAGAGAGAGGCAAAGAGGTATTTATCAATCTCTTAAATAGCAATCTCATTCAATTTCTAATATGCCACCACCCCCACTAATAATAATAATACAATGGTACCTTGAGTACAGTGCAAAATAATCTAGCATGTATTTTACAAACAAGTAGAAGACAGGACCTCCAAGCCTCTAATCAGAAGGAAGGCTAAGAAGGGGAAATGTTGGGGCCTGCACTGTGGCATAGCAGGTAAAGCTGCCACCTGCAGCACTGGCGTCCCACCTGGGTGCTGGTTCGAGTCCTGGCTGCTCCACTTTTGATCCAGCTCTCTGCTATTGCCTGGGAAAGCAGTAAAAGATAGCCCAAATCCTTGGGCCCCTGCACCCATGTGAGAGACCCTGAAGAAGCTCCTGGCTCCTGGCTTCATATCAGCTCGGTTCTGGCCATAGTAGCCATTTGTGGAGTGAACCAGCAGATGGAAGACCTCTCCCTCTGCCTCTGCCTCTCTGTAACTCTGCCTTTCAAATAAATAAGTAAATCTTAAAAAAAGGGGTGGGGGGAGAAAATGTTGATCAACATGATTTAATCAGTGCACATTGTACACTTATTGAAATGTCACACTGCAGTCCGTATTTCTGGACAATTATTCTTTTTCTTAATTTATTTATTTGGCAGAGAGAGTTATAGATAGTGAGAGAGACAGAAAGGTTTTCCCTCTGCTGATTCACTCCCTAAATGGCTGCTATGGCCGGCTCTGCACCAATCCGAATCCAGGAGCCAGGTGCCTCTTCCTGGTCTCCCACACAAGTGCAGGGGCCTAAGCACCCAGGCCATCCTCCACTGCCCTCCCGGGCCACAGCACAGAGCTGGACTGGAAGAGGAGCAACCAGGACTAGAACCCGGCGCCCATATGGGATGTGGGCGCCACAGGCGGAGGATTAACCAAGTGAGCCACAGCATCGGTCCTTGGACAATTCTTCTTTTTTTTTTTTTGACAATTATTCTTAACAAGTGTTTTTTAATTAAAAGAAAAGTTCAGGAAGAATAGATTTTTTTTTAAAGATGATAGTTGGGATATCCATACCCCAAACTGGAATGCCTAGTTCAAGTCCTAGCTCCACTCCTAATTCTAGCTTCCTGCTAATGCACACTTAAGGAGGCAGCAGGTGATGGCTCAAGTACTTGGGTCCTTGGCATCCACATGAGAGACCTGGACTGGGTTTCTGGTTCCTGGCCTCAGCCTGGCCAAGACCCAGCTGTTGTAAGCATTTGAGGAGTGAACCAGCAGATGGGAGATCTTTCTGCCTTTCAAATAAAAGCAAAAAATCTAAAAGAAATTGCATGTTATGAAAGACTATGCATGAACTTCAAAACTGGGTTTGCAACAAAACTCATAATTTTAATTCCATTTTCCACCAACTTTTTGGAGTGCCCTTGGAAGGTACTATACTGGTATCATGTAGAGTTTTCAAGAGTAGTCAAGCCTAACCCTGATGTTTGTAAGAATTCCAGAAGGTGCAGGAATAGAAGTTTTCTCTGTTTTATAAAGGAACACACAATAACGATAATAAAAATAAGAATACAAAAAAGTGACACGAATTCAGCACTTAGATGTGTCTGGTGCTATACTAAGGACATCACATAAATTATCTTGTTTAATCCTCACACCAACCCTCTAAGGTGAGTGCTGTTTTATCCTCATCTCCTAAGGGTGAGGATAAGGAGGATTGAGAGACACACACTGGGTCAGAAGGGTCACATGTTTGAGGCTGGGACTGTAATGCAGGACTCCCAATACCTAATCTGCTGGCTTCCTTCTGCACCTCTGTAGAAAAGTGGAGGTTTCCAAATACTCAAGAGGAAAAGGTGGGCTGATAGGTGAAGAATGAGACCAAGAGACAGCCTAGCCTAGCTTAATATTATACAGCATATTTAATTAAAATAGGTAGGCGTGCTGACCAGGGAGAGGGCATGGGGAGAGGGTGGTTAATGACCAGGAGCGTAGACTGCTGCCCCTACAACTGTGCTGAAATGGAATGGTGGAGCTGTCCTCAGGGGTGACAGAGAAAGCATGAGCAGGCCGTACCCCACCAAGGGAGCACCAGCCTCTCCCCAGCATGCAGACCCCACTGGGGAAGCTCAGGATGGGTTCCTCTTCAGTTCCCTTAAAAGAGATGTTGGTACTCACCGCCCTCTTCTAGTGCTGGATGTCTATGGAAATTTATGAGGGATAATATGGTCAACTTGGCTGCGCTGCAGTACCTAGATATTCGATCAAACATTCCAGACATTTTTTGAAGGCATTTTTTTCAGATGTGATTAACATTAGCTCAGCAAATTAAGTAAAACAGGTTACCCTCCACGATGTAGGTGGGCCTCCCCCAGTCAGCTGAAGTCCTGGAAAGAACAAAGACTGATGTCTCCTGCGCAAGAAAGAACTGTGCCAGCAGATTGCTTCTGAACTCAACCTGCAATTCTTTCTTGGCATCCCAGTGTCTGCCCCGTCCTGCAGATCTGTCAGCCCTACACAAACAAACATTGCTCCCTCTTTCCCTTCTCCCCCACCCTAATTTATTTAATACAATTTTCTACCTAGAATCATAAATATAGAAAATCTCCCATGTCACCTTGGTTAATTGATGCTTTCTAAAGTACCCAGCACTTGATAATGGCAGAATCTACCTCAGATCTGTAAATGACAGTGGAGTCCATGTGTCTTATTCAAAATATCTAATTTAAAAGCAAATAGGGGCCTAGGGGCCGGCACTGTGGTGTAACTGGTTAACGCCCTGGCCTGAAGCACCGGCATCCCATATGGGTGCCAGTTCACTACCAAGCTGCTCCACTTCCTATCAGGCTCTCTGTTATAGCCTGGGAAAGCAGTAGAAGATGGTCCAAGTCCTTGGGCCTCTGCACCCGCGTGGGAGACTTGGAAGAAGCTCCTGGCTCCTAGGTTTGGATCAGTGCAGCTCCGGCCATATAGGCCAATTGGGGAGTGAACCAGCGGATAGAAGACCTCTCTCTCTCTCTCTCTGCCTCTCCTCTCTCTGTGTAACTCTTTCAAATAAATAAATATTTTTTTAGAAAAAGCAAATAGAAAATTCCAGTTTGAATCACTGGTACATGAAATGGAATGGTGGAAATAATACATTGAAAATCATGTGAAGATTGCTGTCACCCAAATCACATATTTCTATCATCAAATCCCTTCTGCCAGCACCGACCACTAAGAATCTGCACAAAGCTCAGCCTCGCTGATGTCCTGACCCAGTTCCATGTAGACTCTCTGGTCATGAACTCCATGGCTCTGAGGCTTGTGGTCCTTAGCCCAAAGACCACCATCCTCTACACCCAAAGTTCTAGAGGTCAATCTCAACATTTAAATACATACAGACAGATGACTGTTCATGTCTCCCACTTGATCTATCGTCTCCAAGTACACACGTCATATGGAACTGACTTGTTCGGTGTCTCTTCCCCACTGGATTGTACATACTCTAAGAATTAAGACTGCATCTGTCTTCTATCTCCAGGAAATGGAAATAGGGTTCTAGGGCACTCCTTGCTGTACATTCCTTTACCCAATCCATTATTTCTTCTCCTGGTATGAAAGTCCCTCTTCCTTTGGAGTTTCATACCTCTCGGCTTCATCTTCTCTATTTTATCGCCCAGTGGCCAAACCTCCCAATAAGTCCTCAATATTCACTGAAGATCCTAGCCTTCTCCCTTTCAACACTTTCTGACATTATTCAAGACAGATCCATTGTCTCACTCAAGGCAAATCCATTGTCTCAATAGCCCAATAGACACCCTTACCTCACAACATTCTATGTCTCCTGCAGGGAAGACTACCACCTTTATTCTAGAACCCACAATGGTGAGCACTCCTTGGACTCAACATCATTTGTAATGTCCAGGACCAAGAAATTTCTCAGTTCTACCTCTCCAACATCAACTTCTGATCAGCAGCTCTTATGCTACAGCTTCATGTGTGCTTCACCTCCACAACACGGGCACCAAATGGAGCTCTCCAGTCCTCTGTTCCCCCATCTACTCCTAGTTGACTGGCCCCTGATCCCAGTCCCATCCTTAAGCAACTTATACTTCATGGCTGAAACTGCCAAACACTCAATCATTTGAACCTCACCACTTGTGCTAAAATTCTACCGTGGGTCAATCTCGCAATTTCCAGGAATCCCACAGTTCTGCTGGAAAGAAAAGAATCACATAGCTGCATATCATGTTGCTACCACAAACTTACGATCCCAACCTCAGCAACCTTTTCAGGTTATTGTCTGTGCTCCAATCAACTTTGGTGATTATTCTAAACTTCACCACTCTCTTCATGATTCTGGTTCAACTTCCACCCCCATCAGTCCTGTTGAACACATGCGATCACCTACCTGCTAATCCAATCCACGAGATGTAACTGATCACTTTCTCCTATAAAACCTTCATTTCCAACTTTACAAATCTGTTGGAGCAAGAAATCCATGAATTGTTCTAGACCAACACTTCCTTTTGCTTCCTCCTGGTACCCAATACTAAGTTACCACCACTTCTGGCTTCTGCTTAACCAAACTCTGATTGGAGAGAAGAAAAAATGGGCAAGGCAAGGTGGGAACTTTCTAAAGTGATGCAAATACTATACATCTAAGCTGTCAAAAAGGTAGCAACTAACAATATGAGATTAGTAAGCACTGAAAATGTGGCTATGCAAAGGAGGAACTGGATTTATCATTGTATGTAAATTTAACTCACTTAAATAGACACATATGGCTACCATATTGAATACCATAATTATCAACTTTTCCTTCTGTCACTTATAAATCATAAGTCATGCATCAGTCTGCCAAATTTATCTGGAAAACATGTGTCTATGCTTCCCATCTCAAAGTAAATTGCTCTAGTTGATCATGCCACTTTCTTCCTAAAATTCTTCAGTCTTCCAGTTGTCTTCATATTAGTTAATGCTCCTCAGCTGAAGTTTGTCAGGCCC